GACCACCAGCTCCTATTGCCTCCCTCCTTGCTTCAGTATCACACCTGCCCAGGGCATCCAGCTGCCAGAGCCCCAAGGTCCTGCTCCACAAAGTCAGCAATATTCTACAGCTAGAACCAACCTTTTAATGATCCTTCTCTTTTTTTTTTCAATCCTTTAAAGTCATTTTTTAAAATTGAAGTATAGTTTATATACTATATTTTAATAGACTTTATTTCTTTAGAGCAGTTTCAAGTTTACAGCAGAACTGAGCAGAAAATACAGAGTTCGCACATAGCCCTCCCCACCCACACGTACATACTCCCCTACCGTCAACATCCCTCATCAGTGTGACATATTTGGTGCAATCGATGAACCAACATGGGCACGTTATTATCAACCAAAGTCCATAGTTTACATTAGGGTTCACTCTTAAAGTTTTACATTCTATGGGTTTTGACAAATGCATAACGACATGTAGCCACCACTACAGTATCATACAGAATAATTTCATTGCCCTAAAAATCCCTTGTGCTCCATCTTATACAATATTACATAAGTTATAGGTGTAAATATAGTGATTCACAGTTGTTAAAGGTTATGATGCCCCATTTATAGTTATTATAGAATATTGGCTGTGTTCCCTGTGTTGTACAGTATGTCCTTGTGGTTTATTTTATACCTAAAGGTTTTTACCTCTTAATCCCCTACCCCTAAATCACCCTCCCCTCTTCCCTCTCCCCACTGGTAACCATTAATTTGTTCTCTGTGCCTGTGAGTCTGTTTCTTTTTTTATTATTTTCACTAATTTGTTGGATTTTTTTTAGGCTTCACACATAAGTGATATCATATGATATTAGTCTTTCTGTCTGACTTTCTTCACTTAGCATAATACCCTCCAAGTCCATCCATGTTGTTGCAGGTGGCAAAATTTCCTCCTTTTTTATGGCTGAGTAGGATTCTATCATATATATTTACCACATCGTCTTTATCCAGTCATCTGTCAGTGGGCGCTTAGGTTGCTTCCATATCTTGGCCATTGTAAATAATGCTGTGAGCACTGGGGTGCATGTATCTTTTTGAATTAGCGTTTTTGTTTTTCTCAGATATATACCCAGGAGTGGAATTGCTGGGTCACGTGGTAGTTCTATTTTTAGTTTTTTGAGAAACCTCCATGCTGTTTTCCACAGGGGCTGCACCAGTTTACATTCCCACCAACAGTGTAGGGGGCTGCCTTTTGTCCACGTCCTCACCAGCATTGGTTATTTGTGTTCTTTTTGATGGTAGCCATTTGACAGATGTGAGGTAATATCTCATTGTGGTTTTGATTTGTGTTTCCCTGATGATTAGCGATGTTGAGCATCTTCTCATGTGCCTGTTGATGGCCCTACTCTTGAGAACAGGTCAGCAGTCTAGATTTTTCCCCTCGTTTTGGTGAGTTTTCTCTTTAGAGGTCCCTTACTATCAGACCTTGGTGAGGGTCCTACCAAGCCCCTTGGATTTGTTTTAATTACGCTGACTCCCATTTAAGGGAAGAAGTGATTCCAATCCATTTGTCCTAGGAGGGTCCTTTCCCCATAGGAATTCTTGAATGCAAATTAGTGTGTGAGGAGAAGAGGTGATTTCCAACTCCACCTGGCAGCATTTGAGACCCCACTACAAGAGGGAAGTGTCAGATAAGGGGTGACACCTCATTCCTCAGCTGAGCACACCCCAGGGCCAGGCCCTCAAAAGTTCAGTTATGTCAAGTAAGTGCAACTTGAGGACACCAGTTCTGAGCAGAGAGCTGGTTTCCCTGAGGCCCTTTGCCCAGTTGAGGTGCAATAAACAATACACTACAGTCTTTGTGCTGTCACTAAGGAAAATCTGATGAAAGATTTTAAAGATTTTTTGATACTAATATGCCTCTATTTGATAATCCATGACTTCCTCTGTTCAGGCTGCTGTAACAAAATACCATATGCTGACTGGCTTGTGAATAGCTGAAATTTACTTCTCACAGTTCTGGAGACTGGGAAATCCAAGATCAGGGGCCTGGCAGATTTGCTGTCTGGTGAGGGCCAGCTTCCTAGTTCACGGGTGGCTGTCTTCTCCCAGTGTCCTCATGTGGTAGAAGGGAAGAGGAATTCCTCTGGGGCCTCTTTTTAAAGGGGCACTAATCCCACTTCTGAGGGCTCCACTACCAGGACCTAATCACCTCCCCAAAGCTTCTCCACCTAATACCATCATATTGAAGGTTAGGATTTCAACATATGAATTTTGGAGGAGCCATGAGCATTCATTCTATAGGAATTCATATGTGAATTTTTTTTTACTATTTTTTTATGGAAGTATAGTTGATTTACAATGTTGTGTTAGTTTCATGTTACAGCAAAGTGACTCAGTTATACATACATATATTCTCTTTTCAGATTCTCTTCCATTATAGGTTACTATATGCTATTGAATATAGTTCCCTGAGCTGTACAGTAGGACCTTGTTTATCTGTTCTGTATATAGTAGCTTGTATCTGCTAATCCCAAAGTCCTAATTTATCCCTTCCCCCTGCCCTTTCCCCTTTGGTAACTGTAAGTTTGTTTTCTATGTCTATGAGTCTCTTTCTGGTTTGTAAATAAGTTCATTTGTATTATTTTTTAAGATTCCAAATATAAGTAATATCATATGATATTTTTCTTTATCTGACATGATTCACTTAATATGATCATCTCTAGGTCCATCGATGTTGTTGCAAATGGCACTATTTCATTCTTTTTGTGGCTGAATAATATTCTATTGTATACACACTATAGCTTCTTTACCCAGTCATCTGTCGATGGACATTTAGATTGCTTCCATGTCTTGGCCATTGTAAGTAGTGCTGCTGTGAACATTGGGGTGCATGTATCTTTTTGAATTAATGTTTTCTCTGGATCATATATGAATTTTTGACTATATATACTAGGGGGAAATCTTGTGTTGTACCTAAAACACAGTGTAGTGACAAATAATTATTACCATAAGACTGTGGGCAAAGCTGCTAATGTGTCTAAAACTGCAAAATAGTATAACAAGGAGGGAAGATATAGCTCAGTGGAAAAGTGCATGCTTAACGTGCACAAGGTCCTGGGTTCAATCCCAGCACTGACATTAAAATAAATAAGTAAATAAATCTTAATTCCCTCTCCCTGAAAACAAAATAAACAAACAAACAAAAAATAAATTAAATATTTTTTAAAAAATAGTATGACAGTGCTTAATTTGGAGCCATGTGACTCCAGAATGATGAGTATAAAATGTGACTCTTGCTCTGTGCCTCTCTGCTTGGAAAGCTCTCAGTGGCTCACGGCCAACCAGAGGATACGATTCAGACTTCCTCACAAGCATGAGCAGTCCTCTGAAACCTGGCCTGTGTGGTTTTTCAGCACTGCATCTCACCTGTCCTCACCTTGCCTTTTGTGTGTTCTTTAGGATGTTGCTTACTTGCCCTGTCCCGGACACACTATACTGTTTTCTCCCACTCTGGTCCCTGTGCTCATGTTGCCCACCTTTGTAGAAAGCCAAGGTGATGTTCTGGTTTCCCAGAGTGACAGAGCCCCACAGGCACTTGGCTGTCCTTAGTGTCTTTATCAGTGGATGGAGAAGCATTTGCCTCCCCTGAAAAAATTGGCCACATACCCACTCCTTTGCCCTTCAGTTTTTATTTGGCAAACAGTTATTGAGAACCTGCAGTTTGTTATTATTGATGTTAGAAGAGGGGTAACATACCAGCTTTGGCCCATGGAGCTCCCCTTCTGGTAGGGGGAGATTGACTCAAGAAGGCAGTGCCACAGCTTTCTGGTAAGTGTTTTGCTGGAGACAGGAAGGTGTAGAGGCCTCTAGGCTCATAGAGGAGGTGCACTGACTTTAGCACCAGAGAACACTCCAGAAGAGACCCCATGTTGGCAGGTCTTTTAGGAGTTGGCACTGGCTTGGCAGAAAGGAGAAGAAAAGTAAGTGTTTGAGATAAAATGCTGTTGGTAACCCTTTCTGGGAAATGGGCAAAGGGTTGCTTTAATCAAGTCTGATTCTCACTAGAAGGTAAAATAAACTATTTAAAATTTTATCTTTTCTCCTAGAACCTGTATGTATTTTTAAAAGTGTTATCAGCATTGCAACAAGATGTGACCCAATTGAAATTGTATCTATTTGCATTGTTTCAGTGATTGTGAGGTGACTTGAAGTGATGTTAAGAAACTTAAAATTCATTTGTGGACATAAATTCTAATTACTAAGGAAGGTTAAGATGATCATAGTTAGATCATTGTGGTAGTTGCTAATTTAAACCTTAATGTTTCTCTTTCTGTCTGTATCCAAAAAAAAAAAAAACAGAAAAGCCTTCAATGTGTAATCTTAAAATTTCAGAATATGTTGTAATTACCTCTGTCTTGTTAGTCTTATCTAAAACTAGATCGTAAACCATTTTAAACTTTTGTGTTACTTTTAGAAATACTCTTATGTAGTAGAAGAAAACCAGTTGAACAGTTACGGGGCCAGATGAATACAAACTAAAAGTTGATGTTGCTGCTTTTGAAATGAGTTAGTTGCAGATGACTATTAAATGCTGCCGTTTAAATTTAGCAGAACCGTTAGATGTGGGGATTTTTCCTTTTATTAAACAGAAACAAGACCAATAAGGGGGAAGCATCTAGCTTTTCACAGATTTCAGTTTCTAGAATAGCTAAGAAACGTGGTTTTGGTCTGCATGATGAAATGAAACCGAGCAAGAAGACTGTCTCTCTTTCAGGTTATGAGAAGACCGATGATGTTTCAGAGAAGACTTCCTTGGCTGACCAGGAGGAAGTAAGGACTATATTCATCAACCAGCCCCAGCTGACAAAATTCTGCAATAACCACGTCAGGTAGGAACTACCTGAGAGTGCCATGGGGACCGGCTCTCGCCAGAGAACTCTGGCAGAGCATCTGCCCTGGCCCACCAAGGCGAAAGTGCTGGCAAGGAACTTTCACTTAAACCAGTTTAGTATTTAAGAGCTTACTGGAGGCCGTGTGAATCAGCTGTGTCTCTGCCTCTAGCCAATAAGGAGATGTTAGTAAGAGTCTAGAAGCAGGAAAGAGCAAAAAGATAAGCGGCTACACTCTGCCACTTCCCCGTATAGTGTCTGAATAATGAGAGCGGTTCATGGGTGAGTGCCTTTGTTTCAAACCTGTTAATAGAACCATGAACTACTTTTGGAGGGGGGGGGGTTAGGTTTATTTATGTATCATTAGTTGGTTTTTTTTTTTATGGAGGTACTGGGGATTGAACCTAGGACCTCACGCTTGCTAATGAGCACACCCTCTGGCACTGAGCTACACCCTCCTCCTCTGTGAGCTATTGTTTTTGATGAACAAGTTTTAACCTTTTAAAAGAAGTTTGCAGTTCTTCACTTAGAATTCCTTTTTGTTAAATAGCCTTCAAATATTGGCTTTGGATATTTGCAAAATTCAGTGTGGTGTCAAGGAAGGGAGGGCTCTGAGAATTACTTCACTGGTGAATATTTTCATTCCAACAATAATGTAAAAATATTGCTGTTTAGGTACTAGTCACTAAGTGGCCTCTGGAACCAAGAGAACAGCCCCCTGCCCCGTGTCAGCCCAGTGTTTTTCCAGCGATAAAATTCCTAGATTTGTGAAGTGACCATTTATAATTAATATTTACACCTTCAAGTTCTGGAGTAACTTTTCTGAGCTTGGGAAGTGTGGCATGTGTCCCTTTAACCTCCTTTCTCTTTAATTAACAAGAGGAAGGTTGGAGGTTTGATTGTGGATGTGGCTGGTGTGTTGAGTGTGGAGTCCTCGCCATGTTTCTAGAGGAGCCATGAAGAAAAGTCAAGCAGAACCCAGAAAATTCCCCATTCCTCTGCAGTTAGCCAGGGAAGCCAGCTCTAACGTTTCTGGTCCTGCTCAAATTGCTGATTTATTTTTTGCAATATATTGTTTTCTATTAACATTATATACTATATTAACTGAAGTTGTTCTTCTTTGTAAGCAAGCTACTGCTAGTCATGTTACACTGGATGATTGGCCAAAGAGAGCAAAAGACATAATGCAGAAAATTAAACTCTTACTATTTAGACAGTTCCTTTCATTCAGGTAAATAAATGATCATTTGCAATATTCTCCCAATTAGAAACAGAGGGCAGTTTTTCATCATCAAAATTTTCATACGATGATAACAGAATTTTGTCAGGGTGGAGTAATATGTGTGCTGCTGTTCACTTTGTTTTCTAGCACTGCGAAATACAACATAATCACATTCCTTCCGAGATTTCTCTACTCTCAGTTCAGAAGAGCCGCGAATTCATTTTTTCTCTTTATTGCACTGCTTCAGGTAAAGTCATGTCATTGTAAAACGTTAGTTCAAGGTCATGTGTTCAGTTATTAATAAGTATTTTTGTCAAGGGCATGATCAATCTTCCAAAGCTTATCCAAACACAGAGAGATAAGCTGGTTTGGGTGAGCATTTCCAACTCCTGCCGCAAAGCCTGCCACGATACTGCTACCTCGTCAAGCCCTTTCATTCAATCAGCTTATTTTAAACATTCTGTAAATTCGATGTGGCAAGCACTGTTCATTTTGGGTGGTAAAGGAGGATGGAATCTTTTTCTTAAAACATCAGCTTATTTTAATAACAGTAACATTGTCAATTCTGAACCTTAGGACATAAGCGTTACCATTTTAAAACCTTTTTTGTTTTCTATTTGGGTTAGTTGTAATCAGAAAACATGTTTTATTTTATTAAAAGGTGGTATATGTTTATGTAAAAAGATAAGAAAACACAACAAACCATAAAGAAAAAGATTTAAACTCTTATTATTCCACCACCCAGAGTCAAGTACTGTCTTAAAATTTGAGTGTATATCCTTCTAGCCTTTTTTTTTTCATCCCAAGCATTGTTAACTGACTTAGTTTATAAAAAGAGGATCACAGAGAACATTTGTCTTAGCATCTGCTTTGTTATATAGTAATGTGTGGATATTTTTCCAAGAGATTCATTGTATTTCTAAAATATCAGTTTTAATGGTTGTATGAAATTTTAGTATATGAATATACTGGAATTTAGTTAACCAGTCTCCCCTTGTAGGTGTTAGTCCTACACACAACTGTTTGCTATGAAGCTGATTAGCATCCTCTTTTAGCCACTTATTAGATACATGCAAATTGCCTTACCCAGTGTTATTCTGCCAGGATAGGGAAATCAATGAAGTGTATCTTAAGAAGCACTAAGAACTTTGTTGTTTTTAAATGTATTATAAACTTTTTAGTTCTTACTGAATTTTATTTTTATTTTTTTCTTCAAATAGCAAATACCTGACGTATCACCAACAGGTCGCTATACAACACTGGTTCCTCTCTTATTTATTTTAGCTGTGGCAGCCGTCAAAGAGATAATAGAAGATATTGTAAGTATTTATTTTTTTCAGAAGTAAATGTGACTCTGTTATTTTTATATATATACTTTGAAATATTAGTTTCTTTCTAAATTAAATACCCATTCAGCTTAAAAGAGTTTTAAAATATGCTCCTACCCTTGGAGTTAATTCTTCTTGATTTCTATAGGAGTAATATTACAGAATGCTTATTACAATGTCCTCTTATGTTTATACCTTTGTAGTGAAATAAATTCATTTGAATGTAGTAATTGGCTTGGAGAGAAAAATGTATTTGCACATTTTTTTCAATTACACTCAATTTTCAATTTGAACGTTATTTCAAATTACACAGTACCTCCAAGTTACCTAAATGTAAAGTTTTTTTATATCTATTATTTTTCAATGTATATACCATAGTTTTCCCTTTATTAAGTACCTTTGATTCCTGTTCGTCTCATTTTAGTAGTTCTAAATTTCCCTTTATGAAAAGAACGTAACAGCAGATTTGCTATTTTTATTATTCCATAGTAGAGAAAAGGGGAAGTCAGTAACTACTTCAGTCAAGGAAGCTAATATTTTTTTCTATGTCCTTTAAATAAATATATTGCCTGTCTGAAATGACCTTCTGTCAGGACTCAAGCAAGTCAGATGGTAAGGCAAGGAAAGACTGAGGCATTCTTTAGAAAGCTCTGACTTTTGGGTTGTACAAACACCTCTATTATTTTTGTAAAGAATCAAATTGGATCTCATGAAGAACACATGATCAATAGCATCACTGGCCTATTAGAAATGGGCACACTGACCATGCAGATCATCTGCCTCAAAGCTATCCAGCTGTCTAGGAGTGCAGACAGAGGGTGTGCATGTGTGTGCACATGTGTGTGTGAAACATAGGCCTCTTGTTGGAAGTGGCATACTTGTGGGGACCACTAGCTAAAAATTCAAGGGACTCTCTTCTCACCCGCATCTCTCCACACAGACATGCCATCCTTTAAACTGTGCTTGGACTTGGCAGTCCATAAAGTTTGGTCTTTACTACAATTTTGTCTCTTTCTTTGCCTTATGTATTCCCTTTTCTTTCTTCATTAACTTAATTTTCATTGAGCATCTGTTATTTACTAGGAGTTGTGCTGTTGTTTCTGCAAATTTTTTTTTATTTAATTCCTTCGATAATTTTGAAAATTGAATATTAACCCCATTTTAAAGTTAAGGAAGCTGAGGCTTAGCGAGGTCATGTAACCTGCACAAGAAGTCGATGGAATCAGAATTCCATCCCATCTTCCTGTGTATTATTGTGGTGAGTCACCAACAATAATGTTGATAACATTTATTGAGCTTCTGGGTTCCATATACTTGTTTTATGTCCTTTTCATTTGTTAAATCTTAAAACAACCCTTTAAAGGATTGTTAATATTATCCCCATTTTATAGATGAGGCAGGGGAGGCACAGAGGGGTAAGGTAACTTGCTGGAGGTCACAGAGCTCAGAACTGAGCTGTGAGAATTCAAACAAGGCAGTTTGGCTCCAAACGCTGCCTTATAATCACTGCTCTAAACTGCCTCTCAGTTTTCTTTTCTTTTCCCTAGTGAAACTAAAAGCTCTTCAGCCGTGGTTTCTAGTACTCCTCTCTATGAAAATACATAGTAAATAAAATGGTACCCAAGAAGTTTGGTTGTTTTTAACAGAACTCTTATTGACATCATGTAATAATTGAATACTTTAGAAAGCAGCTTTTCAGGCAGTTCATGAAGGATGTAATAATAATATTGTGGGGTAAGAAGAGTATCATGTGAAGTAGTTTTCCAGTAAAATCAGTGCTAAGAAATTGACTAAAATGTTTTCTGAGAATGGTTTGATAAGTTTATATCAGCATAAGGTGACAATGTTTGAAATGGTACTCCCTAGAAAAGGAAAAAAATAAAACAATAGTTTACATAGTTGGACAAAGAGTATCTCTTTCAATAATTATAATTAATACATAATTTGTTTATTCAACAAAAATATATGAAGCAGTACTTAGGTACCAGGCATTCATTAGGAATTATATTAGGATGTCTTGCAAGTTTTTGTCCAGGCAGAAGGAAGGGCAGGAGACGCCATTGTTCATGTAGTTACTCAGGGCTGCAGCTAAGTCAGGGCTCAGCTCTGTGGAATATCGGTGGTCACCAGGACAGAGGAGGAGAGAGATGG